ATATATTTATCAGATAAAGATTTTAGATTTTGACTAGGCAGTGAGACTGGCAGATAAAGTTCCGATATTGGTTCAAAGCAAATCTTAGGAATAAAAAATGAAGGCGAATTCTTAAATAAAGAAAATTATAAATTATTATTATTAAAAAAAAAAAAAGAATTAGTTAACCTGTAATATATTATATATATATATATATATATATATATATATATATATATATATATATATATATATATATATATATATAAAATATATATATATAATATATATATATATATATATATATATATATATATATATAAAATATATATATATATATATAAAATATATATATATATATATAATATATATATATATATAATATATATATATATATATAATATATATATATATATATATATACATATATATATATATATATATATATATATATATATATATATATATATATATATATATATATATATATATATATATATATATATATATATATATATATATATATATATATATATATATATATATATAATATCTTGAGCAACCCCTAAAATTATTTTTTATTAAAATTTTTTTTAATTTAGTGTTAATTTCTTACATAGAACACATTTAGGAGGTGGCAGCAGACAATTTTAAAAAAAGTTGTTTTTAGAAGCACTCTAATATATATATATATATATATATATATATATATATATATATATATATATATATATATATATATATATATATATATATATATATATATATATATAGTGGTGGTATGAGGTTTAGTGTCGCGGGAGAAGGGGGGGGGGGGCTAAGTCAATGAATTAGGGCGACCAGGGTTGTCTTCAGTAATTTGATTTTTTAATTATTTTTCGATGTTCTAGGAGGACGTGTGGGGGAAGGGGGAGGGGAAGGGGGGGAGGGAGGGAGGGGAATTTACCCCCCCCCACGCCTTATACTAAATCTGCCACTGTATATATATACACACACTATAATAATAAAAAATTAAACTTTTTCTATCATAGACACAAAGAGATACCATATTTAGATATAGTTAACTATTTATTTGGCACAGTAGATTCTCTCTATATATATAGACATAAACTAGATTATTTGCTTAGATCTGCTTACAGTAAAGTTTTTGTAAATAAAGCAAGAACCAAAAATTGACAACTGATACAATTAAAATAACCATTCCCCCATCCAAAATCCTTTACGTGACATATTTAAAATTTTTTTTATCTTATGCTTTTGTCAAAGTGTGTCTATCCCTATTTTCAGTCTATTTACACTATTGCTACCATATCTATATTGTCTGTTTATGGGCTTATGTATTTTATAATGCATTTACTCTAGTTGTCAATCAATCAGAATGTATACAAAATCTTGCCTTTATTGTCAGCCAGTCATGTACACTAAATTTATATAAATTACTTATAGTATGTTACATAATAGGGTGCATCACAAAACAACAATTTAACAATTTTGATTTTGTCTGACACCTTATTGTGTTGAGTAGATTAAAAAAACACTGTATTTCAAATATTTTGGTACTAAAAATATTTTTAGAGGTCCCACAACACCCTTGAATATTTAATGTATCCCTAATATTTTCAAAAAAATAGTTTTTTTAAAGTAGGTCATGTTTGGTCTTAAATGAAGCGAAATTTTATAAAAAATTTTAAAATAATAAGTTTTCTATAAAAAAAATGTTTCTTCAGATTTTTCTGCCATATGATATGGCAAATAAGAAAAAAAGTGCAATTTTTTTTGTTATTTTGTCAGAAAAATCAAAAGTAATGTTTTTTTTATAAAATACTTATTATTTTAAAATTTTTTATAAAATTTCGCTTCATTTAAGACCGAACATGACCTACTTTAAAAAAACTATTTTTTTGAAAATATTAGGGATACATTGAATATTCAAGGGTGTTGTGGGACCTCTAAAAATATTTTTAGTACCAAAATATTTGAAATACAGTGTTTTTTTAATCTACACAACACAAAAAGGTGTCAGACAAAATCAAAATTGTTAAATTGTTGTTTTGTGATGCACCCTCTTACATAACATAATGTTAAAATTCTTACATAATATTATTTCTTAAGTCTATTTACTATTCATTAGCCAAGTTTTGGAAACTTTAATTAAAAAACTTTTACATCTACTCTTGAGTCTAACAATATTCACTCTGACAATCAGATTTCGATTGTTTTGTTCTAGAGCTGACTTGTTAACTATTACAGGGCGCAACAAATTGACGAACGTGCGAACGTTTGTTAAAAAAAACAACAGAAAAACGAATGCCACATTTCCTTACTTTTACTTAACCAAACAATGGCGTTCGCTTACAATTTTTAAAAACAAACGCATAACTTTAGCAATTTTTTTTCCAAATAATTATGCTGTAGTTTTTTATCTATTATAAAAAAAACATAATTAATATAAAAAAAAAAGTCACGAAAATTTAAAACACATTTTCAACGACATTAAAAGAAACCGTGCTAATACTTTCTTCAATTTTACTTTTAAGTTTAATAATTAAGTACGCAACTGAAGAAAGTAATTATGTTTTAGCATGGTTTTTACATGCGTTTACAAAAGGATGAAAAATTTCTTTGAAAGTAATTGCAAATGAATTTATTTGCAATAACTTTAAAAAAAAAAAATGCTAAAACATTCTTTTTCAAAATTGTGCTTTTTTTTTAATTTTCTTATTATTCTTAAATTAAAGTAATGTTTGCTTGCCCTTTTTAAAGTTTTGAAAATTTTTGTTAAGATTTGCAGAAATATATACAATTTATTAGAATATATAAAACTATTATGTTTATTATAGTTTTCATTTTTTACTGTATGTTTAACAACACCAATAATATGGTAATTTTTTATTAAATATCTATTATTATTATTATTATTATTATTATTATTATTATTATTATTATTATTATTATATTATAAATATAATAACTATTATTATTAATATTATAAATATAATAACAAGGCTGCAGACAATTTTTTTTTTGACGTTTGAGCTAAGCAACTTTGAAACATGAAGAAAACTCCATATTTAAGTATGTTCATATATATAAGGAATGAGGATGCTATGCAAAAAATTGTGGTGATTAAAGACTGGGGACAACAAAAACCCCCCCAAAAATTAGAACCCTCCTCCAGCCCAAAATAGGAAAGCAATGAGTCAAATTTGTTATTTTTTTTTAATATTAAACTTAATTTATACTCATTGACAAATTTCAAATTTGATTAAATATTCTCTTTTTGATCGGCTTTTATGACCTTATAAAGTTTACAGCCCCATCAATTTGAGAGGGGTGTAAACTTTATAAGGTCATTTAGATAATGAAAGAATTGAAAATAAAACTGACTAACTCTGGCCAATGACACAAGTTTCGAAGTGGAGGTCTATTTCTAAAAAAAGGTCCTCTAGGTATATCTAGAGTTTCTTTTAAAAAAAAGAGAAGCCTAAGTACCTTCTACATAAGCTTACTTCATATGGTTCTACCTTCTATATAGGTTAAGTACAATCTACATAAACTTACATCATATGGTATATATGGAAAGCTTTTAAAATTGTTAAACCATTCCTTTATAACCAGAGAATTAAAGTAGTCCTTGATGGACAATAATCTACATCATTTCCAGATTTTCAGCAACTTTTAATATACCATCTTTGTTCCTCATCTAATGGTCTTCCTGATAATCATATTTTAAAAGTGACTGAAGTTAAAAGAGATAATACTCCAGTCTTGAGAAAATGTCATCAGTATTTGATTGCTTAGAACAAGTATCTGGATTTGATCACTCTTCTATGGCAGCTTGGAGCATCCTCTCATATATGCAATCTATCGCAAAGTTAGCAACTGCTATGGCTGCTACTTATTATCATTTTTTTAGTATTAATACCATGTACTTTGTCTAATACCATGTACTATTAGTCTCCTGATTCCTATCTCTACTTCTACAAATCATTTACTCGTCACTGTATAAAAGACTGTTGTCATATTTTGGTTCTTTGAAAGATGCATCTTCTTGACTAAGTCTAAAAACATATTGTAAAAGTAGTTGCACCTGCTCCTTTTCCAAGTTTGAACCAATAATCCACCATCACAAGATTGCAATTTTTTTTTCTACAAAAATATCAAATAAATATCATATTTACTGTTGTCATAGTTGCTGCTTAAACAATCATCTCTAGTGTCATCAAACTTGTTTCTTCAATATTTCATGACTCGTCATTCAGCAAAGCATGCTTTTATTGCATCTGTCCTTTAATGAATGTCCCTTTAATGCTCTAAAAACTTTTATTATATCTAATCTAGTTACTTTCCTTACTTTAAAAGTCTCTACCATCTTCATTTTTCCCTTACTTATGCAGTTTATGGTTTTTTATGTCTTCTGTCAACTTATTTTTTCTCTTTAACAATATTCTTTGTTCTCTAGTAACTTTTAACTAAAATAGTAATTGCTTGAAACCTTGTTGGGAGTAAATAAGTTGTATGCTTTTTCTAAACAAATTTTGTTTTATTTTTTGAGAATTTCAGAAACTAAAGTTTAATATAAAATTTAATTTTTGCAACAACTATTTTATCTCCTTAAAGAGATCCCCAAGTGTCGAGACAAGTTGTGTTGTATTAATGAAAATGCTTTAAAATAACAACATTTTGGCTAAATTTTTTTGACTAAAATTAAATTATAAATGCATATCAATAAAACTAAAATCATTGTTTTGGTCGATGCTTGCCTTCATTTTTTCTTGGTTCAAGGCGTCTTAATTATATACGCCACGAGTGCATTAGAAGATCCAGCCCAGATATAAAAGTAATTCATATAACCACAAATGAGAAAACTATGGAGGTAGAAAATATAATCAGTGGTAAGAAAGTGACTAATCCAATAAAGAGTGGCAATATTACCAGATGCTGTTTCTGCAACGTATGTTAATATATGGTTTTCAATAGAGGTCAGAGAAGATCTGAGAAAGAAGCAAGAAATCTAGTTTGTTGCCTGGATATCAAGTTTATTGCAATAATAATTGATTAAAAATAACAAAGACTTCTTTGAGTCAAAAATCAGTCATTGCAAACCCAAGGTAATTACAGAAGCAAAATCTTATTTAAGATAGACTGCCATGGAAATATGTCTTCATGATTGTCATTTACAATAATTTAAAAAATAGTTAACCATTAACTTAAATAAAGCCAATTCAGTATCTTGTTTTACTCAAAGTTACTAAAAATAGCAAAGAATATTGTTCATTAAGATCAACTTCTACTAAAATGCAAATAAAGAGAAAATATTAAATAATAATAAAATGCAAGTATGTAGATTAAAAGATAATTTGAAAAAATAAATATCAGTTGTAAAATCCAATTAAAGCTAAGGACTGGACTAATATAGGTAAAACTAAATCCTCAGAGCCACAATGTATTCACCAATATTTTGAAGAGTTTGATAAAACATCACTCAGCAAAGTTTTCTCATCTCATCATCATCCTATATCTCCCAATTTTCTTGAAAAAAATACTATTTTTAAAAAAATCAGAAGATGAAGGAAATATAGCATAATAATGTGTTATACAAACTAACAGTAATAAAGACATCTTATCATATTAAATGAGCGTAATTTACAATTTATGGGTAAAGTAAAAATAGCAAACTACAGGGACAGGAAAATATACAAATTACAGGAGTAGTGATCAATCTATAACAATATTTTCAAACCAATAAAATATGGCACAACAAAATGGAAAGTGCCAGTCATATAAATTAAAAACCCACAATGGATTAGACATGAAAAACTTCTGACTTTAAACTTCACTCAGGATTGTCCTGGAGGTAAGTATGAGACCAGTGTAAAGAAATGTTACCCAATGTAGTCATACTACAATGAACCTGTGATGAAGTAAGCACCTATGCATAGAAAAAATCTCTAATCTAAAATGCTTTAAATGTCTCAAAAATGTTTCAACTTGAAAAACCAGAACCAACATGAGATCACAATCAAGGTTCAAATCAAACATACACCTCTGGAAGTACTACGCTCAGCTCTTTTCTCTCGGTGCAAATGGCCTTGTTTAACAAGGGTTGTTATTCAGGGTTCAGGGTTAAAAGATAGTTGCAAATAAAATAAAAAATGACAACAACAATAACAAAAACTTGTAGTTTTTTTTTTTGAATGTAGGGTCCCTCTGGAGCTTTGGAGAGATAAATTTAATAAAAATAAAACAATATTTAAAATATATACACATATATATATACACACACACACACACACACCAGGCTTGGTCAGGAAGCAGGAGCGATCGCTCTCGTATACTGACCACGGAATTTATATTTAGTTGCAAAAAACTGGCCAGGTTTTTTAGTTGTTTTGAGAACATTAAAGTTTATGTAAAAAAAAAAAAATTGTTTTACGGACATACATAAAAACATAAAAAACTTGAATGTTCTCAAAACAAGAATAAAAAGAATATTCACGAACACAAAAAACCCGCCAAATTAACGAACAAACTAATTCTATTGGCTCAAAAAATACGCTGACTGAGCGAAATAAAGTTCAAAAGTATTCTGTTGAAATGTTTTAGAAATTGTATTATTCACGATTTGTTATGTTTTTGAGATTTCTAGCATAAATTGTTTTAAGAATATAAATTGTTTGTTTACAAAAATAAATGTTTTAAATATATATTATTTAAATTGTCAAGATTTTGAAAGTTTATTATAAATTTTGGATTTTATTAGTATATTCTTATTTTTTATTTAAAAAGTATGTATTCTTTATGTAAATGTAATTTGGTGTATCTGTTTTTTATAATGTATCTTTTAAAAGCAATTTTTATGACTTAAACAAAGACTTACAAAACTAATTGCGTTTTCAATCGAAGTTATAATCATTAAAGTTAATAAAACTAATTATGTAACAAACATATATAAAGTTTCTGGTTACTAAACACAAACAACACATACAAAGTAACTTGCAGATGAATAAGCACCGTGTCTGAGGTCACGACAGAACACAAATATATGTAGCAAATTATTAGATATAAAGAAAAGCACAGATATAAAGAAACACACTTACACACACACACATATATATATATGTATATATATACACACATGTACACACACACACAGATCTGCACCATTTTAACTTTTAAAACTCAATTAACTTGTTGGCTTGACCTATAAAGTGTACATAGTCAATGACTATGTGCACTTGAATTAATTTGAGAACTTAAAAATAAAAATAATAATTTTAATAATAATAATTAATAACTATCATTTTCATAGGAGTTTCATTTATCCATTTATGTTAACATTAGTACCAAGTAATAAAAGTTACCCATTTGAAACGAGATGGTTCAATTGTTATTTCTAGTTGATCATTCTCTGTGATTAATTTTGTGTGCCGCTTGTCAGGAGAGAGTATTGTCATGCAAGAACCTGATAATTCATTAGAGACTATTGGCGATAAAGATAGGTTGTGAGATTCGTGTGATGGAGGTGTTGGATACATTTGAACAAGATCTTGTTGTGTTAATCCAGCAATGGTTGTAATTCCACCAGAAGTAATTAAACGAGATCCATCAGTTGAAATAATATTGGGGTCACAAACTGGATTCAAAGCTGAAAACTTCAATAATATATATATGAGTTGATATATGAAAAAGAAAAGTAAATTGAGCTAACAAATAAAACTGGGAAACTGATAAACTTTAATAATACTAAGTTATTTAGAAGAAAAAAAAATTATAAATAGATTAACTAATAAAATTAAAATATAAATTAAAACCTTCTTTTCTTCATCGTCTTCTTCATCAAACAAATGATCCAAGTCATCAGATATAGGCATTAAATCTTTAGTACTCATAAGGTTTTTAGTTTTTATTGATGGAGAAAAATGAGTTGATGGTGTTAATGGAGAAGGTAAAGTTTTAATAGAACTAAAATTAAAGATTTGATTATCATTTGGAGTTCCAGGTGTCTTCAGCTCACCTCTACCGGTAATTTTGGTTTTTTTAGATTTATTTACACCGTCTATAGTAGGAGAGTTCATATTTTCTTGTCTTTTAGCACTTCTATTTGAACTTCTATTACCAGAGGGTGATATCATTTCATCTTCAGAACTTTGAAAATTTGAAGCAACCAGTTGCAAGCTATTTTGACGCCCTCTTGGTCTACCAGGTCCTCTTTTTGAGGGTTCAATAGTTTCAACTTTGACATTTTTGCAAACAAATGGCTCAGAATGATCTGAATGCTCATTTTTTATCCTAAATATTCATAACACAGTTTTTACAGGAATTAAAATCGAACAGTAAATGTGATAAAGTTTATTCTATAACAAAGCTTTAAAATACTTTTATATTACATATTAATTTATATTTGAACTTATTAAAAAAAAACTTACTTAATATTATTTTCTGTTTTATCAGATTCAGCAACAGTTAAATCAATGGATATAGGTGATTGTGTAACTTTGTTATCATTTTCATTCATAACTCTGGCATCTAGAGGACTTAAAGTTATAACAGGTTTATTTAAAGAAGTAGGTAATTTAAAAGAAAAAGGTTTTAAATTGTTTGATATCCTCCATGGTTTTGAAGGAAAAGTATCACAATTAGTTTTATTAACACAAGAAGGTGAAGATCCTTTTTTGACAATTTTTTCATTTTTACAATTAGATGAGATGTTTTTTTCTAAAACAGTATCTGGTGCAGTAAATTTAGCAGTAGAAGAATTAGCTACGTGACAAGACAATAAAGGGGTTAATCTTTCTTTTATAAATGAAATGTCTTTTTGTTTACGGTAGTGAAACATAGATGCTCCTTTTGAATCTTTAACAGATTGTGTTGATGTTAACTTAGTTGCGTTACTGAACATCATTCGATTGTCATTTGAAGATTGTTGAACGCTAAAAGTAAAGTTTAATTTTTATATATCATGTGACACTTTACAACAAAATCAGGCAATTTAATCAGAATAAAGAATCAAAAACAACAATGTAATAATTCTTTATTTTTTTTAAAAAACATTTTTTACACATTCAACATTTTTTTAATAAATTTTTATAGTAAACTTTATCAAATAGTTTAACTTTTGCAAAATGTATCAAAATTGATCAATTATTGTTAATATCGTATAATAAAATTTAAAGCCGTTTCATAAACTAAGCAAGTTGTCAGGTTTTGTCATCAAACATCACATAACAACAACAAGTTTTTTCTTCCATATTTACAATAAGAATAAAAATTATTATCATTACAAAATAATGATACTGAAGTCATCCTAAACATTTAAATTATTCCTGTGATGAATCTCTCTCCACATCTATCTAATGGACAATAAAACCTATCGGTTATTGCCATAAACAAATCAGCAGTAGAATGAGAAGATTGAAATCCATACTATGATCAGAAAGTAAGTTATTAGATTTAAGATAAGTTATTAGATTCAAGATTCATAAGTTATTAGATTCAAGATGAGATTAAGTGTTTGTTAATTAACAGTGAAGAACCCAGAGTTTATTTGGGGATACCGTTTTTTTCAGCAATGGCAAGGGAGGTGGGGGGGGGGGGAGATTATGTTTTTGACCCCCCCTCATTCTCCCCAAGTTAAACCGATGCCGCAACAATAATTTTTAATCATCATTTTCTTCATAACCATTTATGTTTATCTTGTTCAGTTTTATCCTATAATAAGGTGTTGATTAAAAGGCATTTTTTGAATACATGAATTTAATGATGCACGATGTTTCTTTAGCATAAAGAAAACTATTTTACTTTAGATTTTATTAAACGCTTTTGTTGCATATACCACGCTATCGGTAAATAATTATTGAAAATTGTTTAAAGTATTTTAAACAGTTATTAACGTTGTTTTAGTAAATTTAATTTAAATTAATAATTAAAAATATTTTAAACAATTTTTAATCAATATTTACATTACATAATATATTTACATATATTATATTGCGTAATATTTGTAAAGTTAACAAAATAGTTTTACATCTTGTATTTGACTTAAAAACATAAGCATTTAATAAACAAATTCGATAAGCATTTAATAAACGTATTTAATAAACTATTCAAATAAAAACATAAGCATTTAATAAACTTATTTTCTATTATTTTAAATTTAAAATTTTGATTTAAATATTAGTAATATTCTGTTCATTTAACTTTTACTAAATGTTATAATTTTTAAAGTGATTTTAAGGCGCCTTTTAAATTAAAAATAATTAAAGAGATAATTACAGTAAACATAACTTAAAAAATATTCTATTATTTTGATTAGAAACCATATTATATTTTTAAAAACATATATTTTAAAAAATACTATTTTTTAATTATTAAGAATAATTTAAAAAATTACATTTGAATAGATAAATTACATTTACTAGGGGTTATTTTAAACAGATCTAAATAAAACTTTTATTAAGCTATTGAAACCTTTATTTCTATTATTTTAAAAAGAATATTGAAAGGAAAAAAAACTGCCTGAAAAAGTTTATACTTCATTTTTTCGTTTTTCTCGCGTAAACTAAAATAACAAGCTAAAGTTCAAAAGTTCATTTAAAAATTAAACTTGCGCGATAATTACCGGGCCTGATATTTTTTACTTTTGTTTATTTATTATCAAAAGCAGTTTACTCTTAATTGCCAAAAACAAAAATTAACCTCACGCTGATTGGATATTAAAAAATGCTTTAACTTTCAAAAAAGCAAATCTTTTAAACATTCCATTGTTATAAAATTTTGTAACGTGGTTTTAAAATTAAGTTTTGTAACAACTTTCATTTTTTTTAAAGTTATGTCCAATTAATAACCGAAGGCAAATTACGTCACGTAGTTATGTTAAAAAGCAATTTTTATTTTCCTGAAAAAAAAAGAGGTAGCTAAATTAAACTGAGAATTATTTATATACTACTGCATTTAAAACTATTTTTTTTCTTTCTATTTTTCATAAAAAATCAAAATCAAAATTAGAAATAAAAACAATTTTTGGGTGTTTTTTTTTTGGGCGCCCATACTAGCAAAACGGTACTAAAACACGTCAGGGTTCTTCACTAATTAAAGATTCAAAAACCTTGCTTAATTTGGTAAGGAAATAGGGATAACAGATGTCCTTTTCCAGCAGTCTAAAGAATAAAACTCTGATAAGCACTTGTTAAATAGTTTTAAAAGTATAAAAAACAGCTCCAAAGAAACCTTCTGCAAGACTATAACAGATATGATGTGCGGACACAAGCTGTAGAACAGTCCAAGTAGGAAATTAGGTACAGAAGCAATATGAATATCAAACAATGGATCAATCTGTTTGTTGGCTATATCAGGTAGGGTGTGATTGGTGGAATTAAAATATAAGATTGATGTAAAGTTCTTAGCGAACAATTTAGTTTTGTCTCTATACGAGTTAACAAAATTTGAACCATGCAAGAGAGAAGGAATAACAGATTTGCCATTATTATAGGCACTACTGAAGATTTTCAAGAAGTCTCTGGAACCTCTTTTTTGAGATAAAATACAAGATTTTGAAACCTGAGACTTTGGTGTTAGACAAAACCTTTTTACAATAGTTTCTAGCAATAGTAAACAGACATCTGTTTTCTGGAGAATTGTTTTGGTGAAAAATATGGAATTATTGGTTACAATTGAGAGGAAAACCATGCACAATGAGAGGAAAACCGCGGAGAAGAGTAAAACTGGACTTGGAATCGTCAAAGAGGAATAAAAGATTCCATATCAGCCTGAATCCAAGAAGTTAGATAAAAAGAGCATTATTTATTAAATAAAAAGAACATTATTAACTATTTGCGTTAGAGATTGAGAAAGGTAAAAGTTGTGGGTCTTAACACATGGAGAGTAACTGACAATAGAGCTAAGTCATTCAGTGTGATGAGCATTATGAGAAAGGTGAAAGAGTGAAGTAGTGCTAAAGGAAAGTACATAAAAGAATAGTCTGCAGATTTAAACCTAGTTTCCAAACAAATGGGTGAATTCTTACAAATGTAAATATGATGCCAAGCATGCGACTATTGGAGTGTTTATGAATTAAAGGAAGATAACCATCAACACTAGGATCACAAGATGAGACAGTTGAACTCATTTTATTCTCACAAAGAGCAAGTAGGTCTGGTGAACATTGCAAGAGATAAGACTCAACAGAAGAAAAGTTATTTTGAAGACAGGAATATTAGTGAATGATCGATTTTGAGAATAAATATATATATATATATATATATATATATATATATATATATATATATATATATATATATATATATTATTTTAATAAATATATAAAAAACTATAACAATAACAAAATATATATAAACATATTTTTAAAATAATATCAATTTATAAACTAATATAAACATAAACATGTTTATGTTTTGAGCACAACATAAATATAAACATTGTCCATTTCCTTGTGTTTTAAATAGGTCAATAACCTTGATTTTTAAACACAAAAAATAATTGTCATTAAATAAAAACACTTATATTTTTTATTAAAATCCAACCTCGGACTTGTTCTACTTATGTAGAACAAAATGCTTTAGATAAAATAAACTTTTTTTTTAGTTGTTTACCACATGTAGTAAGTTTTCTTTTTAGTTGTTTCTGGACTCGTTTTACTTATGTAGAACAAAAATGTTTTATTGTTATTAAAATTGCAATTTTTAACTATGTAAAAGATCAAATAAAAAAAAAAGTAAAATGTTTAAAGTGGATTTTTGTAACTTTTTATGTAAGCAATAACAAAGTGTTTTTTTTTTTTACATTTTGTCATTAAATTGAGGGGGGATGTACAAAATTCTGTAAATTAATGAAATACGCCACTCTCCTCCACACTCATCACCTTTTATCTGCCCCAATGTTAAAAAGATATATTGTTAAGCTTGCAACATTTTTAAATTTCTATATCATTCCAAAAATTGTATATTGCAAAAAAAAGCTTTGTGATTATTTATATAAATAGTTACAAAAAAAGTTACAAATTAATTTATTTTGAACAATGTACATATTTGAACAATAGTTATTTTAACTCTGTAAAAAAATTGAAAGACTCAAGTGAAATTAAAAAAAGACTTAATTTAATAATTTTTTATTATTTTTATTTTATTTAGATTCTTTTTTTAGATTTTATTGCTAAAGAAACAATTTTTAGACAGACAGATAAAACTTGGTGAGTTATGAAGTTTTTTAGATTTGAGCGTATAGCTTTTTTTTAAATTTATTTTTTAAACAGACAGATAAAAATCGCTAAGTTAGCTGATTTAAACAGACATGTAAACAGTTATGAAGTTTCTTGAGAGTAGTAAGCTTTTAAATATAATATTAATAAAATCTAATCTTAGATTTGTTTTATTTTACCATAAGAATCATAAGAATTTATTTTCATTTAGACATTCCATTCTAAGTCTTAGCTACTAATTCTGCTACTATTCTAATTATTAATTTTTTAATTCAAACTTAAGTACTAAAAGAATTTGTTTTGTTACTAGTAGTGCTTTTCAGCATCTACTAGTAACTTTTATAACAATATTAAATTACCAATTTCCAAATTTATAATAGCATCTTTATTTATTAATTTTTTAATCTAAGTTTTTACATTTTAAGATTTCACTTTTTACTTTTTATTAAAAAAAAAATTGGATGAAATTTATCACAACAGACAAGTTGGTGAACTAAAAAAATTATATTTACTATTGTCAAGAGTCTTTTTTTTTTTTAAATTTCTTATTTTTGGTAAAAACTGTTTTATTACAGGCTTTTTTTTGTTGTTGTTGAGTTCTCCTTTAAATACAACAAAAATATATACATAAGCCCTCAGAATTAGGATCAGCATTCGGCAAGGCGAATCTAATAGTGTTTGAGATTGACCTTGTTTCATTGTTTTATAGTGAAACCATTATGTCAAGCTTTATTTGCTGACCTCTAACAGTTTTAGGTTGAAAAGTATGCTGACCTCACTTTTCCTAATTTTGATGGCTTATATATAGATGTATATTTTGTGAAATTTTGTAAAACATGCAAGAAGACATATATATATATATATATATATATATATATATATATATATATATATATATATATATATATATATATATATATATGAATAATGATGAAATAAGGTCAATCCCTTAAAGCATTAACACTAGCTACTTAAAATAACACTAGAAAAGAGCAGTATGTATGCACTGAAGTCATGTTCATAAAAAAATATAAATGGTTACTTAGTGGCAGCCATACACTTGCAGTTTGTATAAACATTATTCTCATTAAAATTCCATGTCTGCTGAGACTGCTTGACTTGAGTCATTTTCCAAATATTCTTTATAATTGAAGTTGCAGAAATATGATCATATTTTTCTTGTGTATGCTTTGAATTATTACCTAAAAATTTAATTTAAACCTTATCCTTTAGAAGAAAAATAACAATTATATTAGATAACTAAATATATAATTTTATTTAAAATTATTCAAAAAATATTTTTAGTCATTAATAAAAGCACAAAAAAAAATATATATATATATATATATATATTTTTAAATAAAAATAAATTTAGTAAACTTTATACAAATATAGAATATGTATTATAAAATAAAATTATAAATATCAAATATGTTTAAAATATTGCTTACAAGTAATATGTAATAAATTTTAATTATAACAAATAAACAAACCAGATGCTGATGAACTAGGTATCAAAACAAGTTTGGCAGGATACAGCATTTTAATGTCTCCAAGAACCACTTCTACTACATTTGGCTGACCAAATGTTGATAAGGCAGGTACAGAAGGAAAAAATCTTTGCCATTCTTCTAATATCTTCAAAGAACTCGTATCTGATTCACCAAGATTATGACCAGTTAACTGTGCATTCAACCCATAGGGTGCCAGAAGAACTGAAAAAATTTTACAAGTCTACTGATAAATATTTAATGTCACTCAAAAATTAATAACATTAACTAACAATTAACTAACAATACATAATATAAATATCATTTTAAATAAAACATTTAAAATGACGAGTTATAAAAATTAGGCATTAAGTATTTTCAAATACTCAGGCTTTATTTTAAATGACTTTTGCATTGATATATATATATATATATATATATATATATATATATATATATATATATATATATATATATATATATATATATATATATATATATATATATATGTTTAGTCTATATCAGATTATAGCAAATTAAATAGTATATTATAGTAAATCATTACATTAACTCGTTATAAGCACTAAATAAACTATATTATAACAGAAATTGGTTTGACATTTTGCAACAACTTATAATTTTTTTTTTTTTAATTTAAATTTTAACTTTAAGTTACAATTTTTTTAACATTTTACATTTATTATTTCAAATTAATTTAAAAAAAATCTTTAACTTATCTTTTCCATAAGATTTCTTTATTTTTTAAATGTTGAATTTGAAGAAAAGAAAGAAAGAAACTACTTTTACTTCAAATTATTTTTAGAATTTATTGGAAGACTACACACAATGAAGTTTCATTACATTAATTGAAAGTTTTCACACAATGAAGTTTCATTACATTGAAGTTTGTACAATTTTTTTCACAATACAAGTCTTTATAAATTAGCCTTTTTTTTAATCAAATTTTCATTTTAGATATAACTATATGAACTTATAACTATATAAATACCATGAGACTCTGATGACATTGGTAAAGTTGACATGTGTAAATCTTTTGCAGAAAGGTGACGTATGCTAGATTTTTCTTGAATATTTATGCTAGCAACCACTGAGGTTTCCCCATGTAAAAACAATGAAAAACTGAATGCCAATGAACTAAAGATTAAAAAATACATTTTAACTAAATACCTATTATCTGATTTTATTTAAAAAAAAAAAAAATTTTTATTAAAGAATACTCAGTTGATCTTTATTTTTTATATTACCAACCACTTTTATTTATTTTTATTTTTTTAATTTTTTTCTAACATCTTTGCTTCCAACAAGGCTGCAAGCAACCGCTAATTAGTGTTGGAAGTTACTGGAAGAGAAAAGTTATCAACAAGTATTATCAACAAAAAGGGTCACAAGAGTTTTTGGGGTGGGTTAAGTAAAACTGACACTTTTTATATCTTGAATAAAAAAAAATTGGAATAAGCTACAAAGTCGAATAATTTTTTATTGAATGCTTATTAAGCCTAGAAAAAAAAAAAAAATTAAAAAATTAAACTTCTTCAGTACGGTAAAATTTTCTAATTTTTGCTTTGATGGGAGTTATAAGATTTTGCACTAGGTGAGATCCATACTCTGGTGGTTTTATCCCACTTTTTCTTAAAATCAGTACTTAATTTTGCTTGCCTAAACTTCTTATCTAATTTTGTTTTAAAAATTGCCCAATATCGCTCAATTCAAAAAAATTCAGGACAATTTGCAGGATTGTGTGTTCTAGGTATGAAATGGATACTATTGGCATTGTAGAAGTGTAACGTAGATTTGGAGTAATGACAAGACGCTAGGTCAGGCTAAAAGATTGCATTACCATTGTGGGCATACTACAGTGGCAATAAGCACTTTTTAAGGCACTCTTTTTGATAAATTTCACAATATTAGTTGTGGAACTAGTGACAAAACTTTGTGTTTTCAACCCACATTGACACATGGCTTGCCAAATCATAATCAAGATTATGATTTGGCAAGCCATATGTCAATATGGATTGAAAAACATCTTATTGTTTTAAATTAAGTCTTAATCTTTTTCCTGGAGACTCCCATATAAAAATGATGTCCTGGAATCATTTTGAAATTTAGTTTTACATAAGTTTCATCATCCATAATTATACTTTTTTTTTCTACACAATAACTTGTATGATTTTCCTGCACAACCTCTTGCCACTAAATTTTTTTCAGCAGCAAATGTATAAAGCTGGAGCTTTATACATTTCTTCAGCAATCTGGAGCTTTATAAATCTTGAAGGACTTAATTTTATGCTTTTTCTTGATAGTTCGGGCCATTAGTCTGCTAGTTTTGCATTTTTGTGGCAAATCTCACTCAGAATTTTAGGATTTGCTCTTATTTTTGCAAAACATTCAACTTGAGTTTTTTGTTAATGTTATTTGTTACAGCTTCCAGGCTTTCTATTTATTATATAAATTTGTTACAGCTTCCAGGCTTTCTATTTATTATATAAAAATACTTTTTTTTTTTTTATTTGCATTCACTCCCAACAAGGCTGCAAGCAACCACTATTAAGTTGGGAGTTACTAGGAAAAAAAAAGAACAGAGTTATAGAGCAAGGAAACGGTTGACAGAAGACTTGAAAAGTTGAAGGTTGTATGAGTCAGGAAAACATGAAGATGGGAGAGAGTTCCAAAGGATTGAAGTGCGGGGAAAAAAACTAGATGAATAAAAGTTTTTAGAGCATGCAGGGACAGATACAGTAAACAAATGAGACTTAGCTGAATGACGAGTAAAACGAGAATGAATTTTAGTTGATGGAACTAGAGATGATAACTCCTTTGAGCAGTGACCATGATAGTATCTGTAGAAAAGAGAAAGAGATGCAACTTTACGACGATGGGAAAGAGGTTCAAGCTTAGCAGATAGTCCAGGTCCAACAACATTTACAATGCAATTTTGGACCTTGTCAAGAAGAGAAAGTGAATTGTTAGAAGAACCAGCCCAAATATGACAACAGTATTCCATACAGGGACGAATAAGAGATTTGTAGAGGTAGAGAATGGAATCAGAAGTAAGGATATGGCGAGCACGATAAAGAGAAGCAACCTTAGCAGAAGCTAATTTAGCAATCGATTGTATATATGGTTTCCATGAAAGGTCAGTAGTAAGCGATAATCCAAGAAGACGTAAAGAGGATGACTCAGTAAGAGGATTGCCATTCATTAATATAGCAATGTTGACCATATTACGGTAGTTGCTTGCAGTAAACAACTAGGTTTTTTTAGAGTTGAAATTCACAAGCCACTGCAAACCTCAGAAGTTACTGGAAATAAAGAAGAGTGTTGGCCTTCAAGGATGACTTTAATAAATCAGTTAGAAAGAAATGATTTGATAATCTCAAAAACTTTCCCAGAAACACCATATGAAGCAAGCTTATGGAGAAGACCAGCATGCCAAACTTTGTTGAAAGCTTTAGATATGTCGAGAGCAATAGCCCTAGCCTCACCGCCTCCATCTAATGCACGATAAAATCTTTCAGTTACAGCAGTTAGCAAGTCGGCTGTAGAGCGAGAGGATCGAAAACCGTACTGATTGTCTGACAGTAGTTTATTTGACTCAAGATGAGATGTGAGGAATTTGTTGATCAAAGACTCAAAGACCTTGCTAATAACAGAAAGAAGACTGATCGGACGATAATTGAGGGGTCAGAATTTTCTCCAGAGTTTTTGAATATTGGAACCACAGATGCCATTTTCCAACAAGCAGGAAAACAAGACTCAGTCAAACACTTGTTAAATAGTTTAGAGAGAATTGAAGAAAGTTCTGGAGAACAATTCTGCAAGACTGTGACAGGAATGTTGTCTGGACCACGAGCTGTAGACGAGTTTAATTAAGATATGACTTTAGCAACAGAAGCCGGAGTAATTTGAATGTCTAACAATGGGTCAACCTGTTTGACTGGAATGGAAGGAAGAGAATGTCCATAAGATTCAAGAGTGGAATTAGAAGAAAAGTTCTTTGCAAACAGTTCTGCCTTATCCCTGGGAGAGGTAACAAGATCAGTCCCATGAATGAGAGATGGAATGTTAGATCTACCCTTGTTAACAATGCTGTTGAAGATTTTCCAAAAGTCTTTAGAGCCTAACTTCTGCGATAAGATGCGAGATTTAGTGAACTGAGAATAATGGAGTTTAGCATCAGAAAGCACCTTTTTACATCGATTTCTTGCAATAATAAATAGCCGTTTGTTCTCAAGAGAGTTGTTCTTTTGAAAAAGATGAAAAAAATGATTACGATAGGATATAGCAGCCGCACAAGAAGGAGAAAACCATGGAGTAGAATGAGGCTTGACTTGAAACCGACGAGAAGGAATAAAAGTTTCCATTCCAGCCTGAATCCAGGAGGTTACGTAGGAGGCGCATTTGTCAGCTGAGAGAGAAAACACATCAGCCCAAGGACCATCACGAAGAAAATCACGAAAGGAATCCCAGTCAGCTTTAGGGTAGTAATAGGTGGTGCGATGATAAGGTGAGCCCAAAAAAGAAGTACGAGAAGAAAGATTTATAGAGATCATTGCATGGTCAGAACCACCTAAGGGAGAAAAGGGAGAAACTGAACATAAGCTAGGGTCAGAGACAAGACATAAGTCAAGGAGTGAAGGTAAATGATTAGGGTTGTCAGGAAAACGAGTCACAAAGTTAACTATCTGAGTAAGAGATTGAGAAACGCAGAAGTTAAAGGCTTTAGTGCCAGCAGGATCAGTGGTGTTAGAGACAAGACATTCAGTGTGATGGGCATTAAAATCACCAATAACGACAATAATGGCGGAGGGGTAAAGAGAGAGGGCATGGTCAATTTGATCAGAGATAACATCTAAAAGAGTGCAATCATGGGAAGAAGGAGAACGATAAAGAACAAAGAGAAAGGTGATAGAGTGAAGAGGTGCTAGGCAAAAGCACATAAAAGAATGGTCAAAGGATTCGAACCTGATTTTACAACAAATAGGGGAATTAATGTGTATGTATACCCCTAAACCTAGCATGTGGCTATTGGAGTCTTAACGAATCAAAGGATAGTACTCATCAACACTGACATCTGAAGAAGGAATTGCAGAACTTAAATTAGTTTCACTTATTTAAAGTTTTAATCACAGTGCTTTTAGGACATTCAACAGTTTTTACAATTGTGTTGGAAGGCAAATTAGGACTTTCCACTCAAGCATGCAAGATTGCATCACACTTGTTGCTGTTTTATTGCCATTTTGAAAAATCATAAATTTTTTTTTAAAGAAACATATTTTACCTGAAATACTAAAACATAAATAATTGTTTTTCTGTATGATAACATTCTGTATGATTTTTTTAGCATCCTATTCATAAGAAATAAAGTGTCAATTTTACTTAAACTAACCTTTATATGTATAAATTTATATATATCAGCCCTGGGAATTAGGGTCCGCATTCAACAATGTCAACCTAACTCAAAGTGTTTGAGGTCAGCAAAAAATTGTCGACCTCGTACTGCTAGAGTGATAAAAGGTACAATTATAAAACATTGGCTATTAATCTTATCATTCTTGCAAAAAAAAATAAGTAGAACAAATCACAATACAAAAAAAAATTAACAGGTTCTAGGTGATTGATATATTTATTTAGGTTAAACCTGAATACAGACGAGTTGTTGTTTGCATCATTTTTTAGTGGCGATACAAACCATTTGCCCAAGCGAACAAACTCATTTTCAGTGAGGTACCTAAAATAAAGCAAATAAACAAAAAAATTATCAAAAAGTTTTTAACTTTTTAAGATAAGCAACTTTAATAATTAACAAATATTGAAGATTATTTAATAATCTAATAATAGGCATCAAATATACATATGCATTAATAAATTAGCATAAACTAAAATTTTAAATATTCATATATTTTTAATATATTAATGGTCTTCATATAAAATTGTATTGGATTCTTTACATGGAAAATCATCTTTAATTGAAACTTAATATAACTCTTTAAATAAACCGAAACTAAAACTCTTTTATTGCAACAGATTTAATTGAAACCTCTTAGATATATAAGATAAGCTCTTAACCCTGGTTATATATTTACTATTTTAATTAACCTTTTTAGTCACCATTTTTGTAGGGCAATATAAACATCAATAACTCATTCCTAAGAGCATTGGCTTTAGAATCAAAAAATCATTCCTTGGCACGTTGTCTTTATAATCAAAAAGCAATTCTACTTGACTCCTAATTTAATGTTGCTTTTTATAAAAAGAATACCGATAAAAACAAGTTTAAAACAGTGTCTAGTAGAACAGCTTTTATTACCAAGTTAAAACAACTTATATACTCTTTAATTTATTAACAAGTTAAAAAAATTTATACTATACACTCTTTTTCACTATTTTGCATTTAATACCAGATATGATAATTTGTTTAAATATTCTTCTAGATAACTTGAGCTAGTTATATCAATATATCAACCTTAATCTAGTTATTCTATACATCAATTATAACAGTTATAATTGATGTATAGATTAACTAGATTTAATAATCTATTCATCTATTATACTATTTTCTATCTACACACACTATCTATTGTCTATACATCTATCTACCATGTGTGTGCACACATGCACACATATAAATCTTTGCTTACTTGACCTTGCATGAAACGCTATTGATGAGACCATAATGAAGTAGCAATTTGCAATAACGTCAATATATACATTATACTTTTTTTACAACAAATTAAAAGCTTTTTTTTTTGTCATACATCAGATTTCTCAGTATATGTAGCTGACTGTATACATACATAAAAAATTTTATTTTAATATTTTTTAGTCTTAAAAATAGGTTAAAAACTAAATTTTGGCACGAATAAAAAAGTTCATTAAAAACAGAAAAAATAAATTTATAATTTTTACTTTTCTATCATATTATGTAAAGATCGAAAAAAGAGTTCCAAAATTTCTTCAGAGAGTCCATCTTCATAAGTTCCATAATCAACTTCTATAACAATCAAAAATAAATAACATTTAACAACATTAATAATCATTAATCATTCAATCTACATCAATATCAAAAATCAAAATTCTACATTAAACAATCTAATTATTATATACAGACTTAATAACTAAATAAAGACTTAAAAACTAAATATAAATGTAAGATTAGAGATAGAGATAAGGAGACTAACTTATTTTCAAGTAAAAACCTTTCAAGCATAGACAAACATAAACAAATACAGTATACATCACATAATTAGCTTAACTTTCAAACTTTATCTTAATAAAAAATATTAACCAATCAAAATATGTTTAACATATACATAAATGCAATTTTTTGGAAAATTCTTGCAAAGCCAATTTTCAAAATAATTTAAAACTCAGAAATTGCTTCAAATGTACAACTACAAATTGATCATGCCAACATTTTGAAATAAAAATTGTCAGAAATAGCATACCTAAAAAAAGCTAAACTTATCAGAGATGCTAAACATATTCAAACAGACTAAAGACCAAAAGTATAAGAGAATTAAAAAAAAATTAAAATAAAAATTGATTTTAAAGCTATGCAAAATAATTAGCCATTGAAGACTCAATCCACCCAACAAACATGGAGAAAAAAATCATAAAAATGCAAGAGCACACAAGAACAATGAAAATGCATTTTTTCCAATGAAAATCCATTTTCATTGGAAAAAATGCATTTTCATTGAAACAAAAATACAACAGAAAATTATCAATGTTTTACATGCAAAAATTTAAAACGTTAAAGGAAGGTGTGTTTTGCATGCTTGCTGAAAAAATACA